CTCTCTCTCTCTCTCTCTCTCTCTCTCTCTCTCTCTCTCTCTCTCTGCTTCCTCTCCTGCCCCATATTTCTCCCCCCCCCAAATCCCTCCTCTAATGATCTTTTATTGCTCTAACACATTTTTAAAAAATGAACTCTTGTGTACATTTGGGATGAATGTGATGAGGGGATATACTCTTCATCAGAGAGGTAATTAAAGTTTATAGAAACAGCCCAAGTCTGCAGCAGGTCCCTCCACTAATGAGGAAACCAGAAGTCTGACTTTCAAACAAACACTCCTGTTAATCTTTTCAAAGCAAGTCAGACATGTGGGCAGGGAGAAAGTTGTAAACTGACAGTGGTTCTGGGGCTGCCCTTCCTTCGCCCCTCTCTAGCTTATTCTCAAGCCAGGCCACGCCTCATTCCACAGGGCTCATCCCTGCCTGCTTGCTAGTGCCATCCATGAGCAAGCTCTGTGTCATTTGTTTTTGCTTTTACAGAGAGCTGTGACATGTCAGAGAGTTAACAGGAGACTTTACTCCATAATTTTTTTCTACTCTGATTTACGTAGACCAAGGAGCAGCTGAGGGAGGAAGAAAAGCTTTAGGCAAATACAGTTCATTTGTTGTCATCTGATGCAATGCTCTGGACACACATGACTCTGCCCATTATTCCTCTTGCTTCATTTGACCTAAAATAAAAAGGTGAATCTACTGGAAAAATGAATGAAAGGTCACCCTGTTTCACAGTGGTGTCTGGACGTGCTCTGCCAGTCTGTTGCAACTACCACATGGCAATGTGGTGATGGTACCGAGTTACTGGAATCCTGAGTGAGTCTGTGATTTGTCATGGGCATAAGCACTGGAATGATGTTACAGTCTCAGCTGTTGGGGAAAAATAGTTCTTTCACTTGTGGGCAAATGTCTGAAAGGTCTGAAATATTGCCCGTATTTCTTCTATTTTCACAGTAGCATCATTTTACCAAAAACAAAACAAAACAAAAAAATAGCTTTGTCAGATTATTGTCTTTTTTTTTAATATACATGTTTGAGAATAACAACTTCACGCCTCCAGATACGCTCAGATTCTAGGGCTCTATTGAAATACTGTATTTGTTTTCATATGTCTTGTCCAGTGTCAGTTATTAAGAGCAGTCCTGTGCAAATCACCCTCCCAGCCGTGGCTCATCCATCCTTTTGGCTGGCCTGGTACCTCCTCGCTCAGTAGCACTGTAAACTGGGACCCCTGATCTTTAGGAGGAACTTTTTAAGAGTAGGAAATCTGGGGATTAGGAGGTTGAGATATTTTGGTTGGAAATGTTTCCCCATCGAGGGGACTGAATTTTTGCCATGACAGCTCAACTCTTTGCTCTACAGCTCAACAGGGATGAAAGCAGCCCCACTCTGGGGCCCCTCCCACTGCCCCCAAAGGATTAAACAACCTGAGCAGATAATGGCTGCCTTGAAAGGATCTTTTGCATGACTCAGATTAATGCATGCTGTCTGTTGCCCAGGTTGGCAGCTACACATTAATTTAAAAAAAAAAAAAGAAAGAAAGAAAAATAAACCTCCAGATGACAACTCTTTTCAGACAAGGTGTGGAGTCTGTCTGCAAAGGATAGAGAGAGACAGACAAGAGTCCACATCCCCACGTTCAAGGAAGCCCAGGTGGGGCTGGGGCTGGGGGCGGGGCCGCACACAAAGCTGCTGGGAGGGATGAAAAGGTAAAGCAGCCACAGAGCAGTGTCAAGTTCTCAAAGCTGTCCGCCTGAGCAGTCACTTTCTTTTATGCAGTCTGCCCCCACCCCCACCCTCACCCCCAGTTTTAGGACAACACTTTTCAGGCCTGTGCTCCAGGCTTGATTTCTCAGAGGGAGTTCTGCCAAATTGAAGAGCAGTCTCCCGTGCTGTTCTCTGCCACTGATGAAAGCTGCTTTGGAATTCTCTGGTCCTCCCTCAAAGACAGCACAGGATCATTCTTGGGTGCTGAAACAGGGCTAGGTTTTATCTGTGTCACATTCCTAGCCATAATGCATCCTTCCTTACTCCTTGGGTAACTGAAGTCCAGCTTATTTAGAAGCATCACTGTGATTTGGGAGTTTGAAATACACATGTTACATATTCTTTTTTTTTTTTTTTTAAAGCCTCCCTTATATCTGAATACTAGTGCACTGGAAGAGCTTGACCCCTAGGGCTTTTGGACTATAAAGTACCAATTTGGGGTGACAACCAAATGCAAAGACTTACAACATACATTCCCAAGGATAGACCCATACCAGCGACATTTCCAAAGAAAGCAGTAATTGTTGGAGATGCGGCCCATGCATAGCCAGTGCGTAGAATAGCACCGCAGAGAAGAATCAGTGCAACCTGATGAGCCAGCTCCTCTGGAATCAAACTCTGTTCCTAAGAGATGAGTTTTAAGCAGCCACAAGTTGAATGGATATTATACTTCCTACAATACTCCCTTAACTCCTTAGATCAGCATTTGCCACGAAAGTGCTGGCATTGAGGGTCATGACTAATGTAAAAACTGAACACTTAAGTTGGATTTCCTGTTTTACTGTAGCACTACGGAATATTTGAAGACAGTGGTTTTCAAGTGGGGAAAGTTTTTGTGGCAATGTCTGAAGATGTTTTTGATTGTTACATCCAGAAGATGTTCCTGGCACCTAGAGGCCAGGGATGCTGCTGAATATCCCACAGTGCACACAGAAGCCCCTCCCCCCAAGAAAGAATTGTTCAATAGTGCTGCTGCTGAGAGGGCCTGAGAAAGCATTCAGTGAAACTCTAAGAAGCAGCTAAAACAGCTTGTGAACTGTCAAGCAATCACAATTGTCTGGAAAATACAACATTTCACAACAGCTAAAATGGCAGACATGACTCCTTTGCCCCTTTGCTTGCCCCTTAATCTGCTATAATCTGATCCCAAGAGTTGAAAAGGAAAAACGGCCACCCTCCCCCAACACACATGCAAGGGTGTTTGCAGGCCTCATAATGCTGAAGTTCTCTGAAGTATTTTCACAGTTTGGTTCAGCTCCAATTTCAAAGCCCCAAACAGTAAGTTTCTTCTTTTGCCTTCAACAAAGGAATTTTTCTCTGTAACTCTGATTTCCCTGCCCACGAGCAAAGGTGAATGCCAAGCCCAAAGGGCTCATAGGTTACATGACTAATATTTAATGAGCTCACATTAACAACAATTATGCCAACCATGACACCTGAGCTTTCCATGCTGTTCTCCTAACCTCGATCTGGACAGCCTGTAGTTGGGAACATCTTACTTGGTGAGTATTTGCCTCCCACTCGATGTTTTCCCTTATTGTACTGGTCATGACATTTGGACCAATCCCCTTAGTCCCAGAATTCAGTGGGAATGATGAGTTCTAGAAACTGAACACATGCTCTTCTCAGATTATTAACCCCTAAGCCCCCACCTTTTCCTGCTAAACATGAGCAGCCCCTGAATGCCCAAAGTAGCAACTTTTCCAAGTCATTTGGTATCCAAAATCTTTGCTTTTGAGTGTTAAGTCAGTACATGGCGTGGCACTTGGAACAGAGATAGGCAACTCTGTCTTTTAACCATGTTTTATTTAATTAACAATGGTAATGGCCTGCCAGTTCCCTTTGTACATCTCCTCTCTCAAACCTTTTTTTCTTTTTTTGGTGGAACCGGGGATTGAACTCAGACCCTTGCCCTTGCCAGGGAATCACTTATTCTACTGAGCCATCTCCCCAGCCCCTGTCCCAAACCTTGAATTTCGGCTTGGGTGCAGATGTTTTCAGGAGCCTTACTTGAGAGCCGGCTGGAAAGTTCTGCAGAGAGGCTTGTCATGCCACTGGCACGTCCAGGCGAGATGGGTGTTGCAGGGTGCACGGAGGGAGTGGTGATGGATCCCAAGTATTGGTAGGATTGATCGTAGGACCATGGTGGGGATGGCTGGATCTGCCTTGTATCTGCATAGAAACAAAGGATCAGTTACACATTGGGTGGGGGTGAAGTTTCAAGACTAAAATATTTTAATAAGAAACTGTCAACCTTTGTTTAAATATATATGCATGTAATCTGTTTATCAGTGTTTACTAAGGCTATCTGGGCCTAAGAATCTGCCTCGTTGAGTGATTTGTCTCCTAAAAGGCACCAAAGTACAGTTTATGTTTGATTCTTGCAGATTTTCATGTGATAAGTATTCCTTCTAGAGGTTTTATTCAATCACACTAATAATGATGAAGGGAGTGGACTGTGCTTTACCTTCATGTTCAGAGTACTGGACTGCTACACTCATGTCTTCACATGCTGACTGCCCACGCAATTTCAGCTTTACCAATGATTACAGTGGTCACTATCAAAAGCATTTTGTGAACTTGGGCTGTTACCTGTCTATCTGTGGACAGTAAGCAAAAGGCATGCAAGAATTTTGGTATTTTTGTGTACCTTTGGCAGAATTATTCCCTGGGCTTTTACAACCTTTCTGGTAAGGTGAATGGTCTCCCAAGAAGGACAGCACAGAAGGTTTGGCTGGGGAGCTGGCAATGAGCTTAACTGCCAGAGAGTTGACCCCTTTGTAAGAGTTGATGTTTGCAACTTTTATAGGGCAGAAGTTTTTAGCAAGTATTTTCTTTATTGTCATTATGAGGCTTAGGTTAGATGAGGCAAAAATGTGACATTAAAAGATTTAGGCAAAATGGATTTTGTAAATTTGACTCCAACATTCAAAAGTATCTTAGTTTTCAAATGCATTATGCTGTTCACAGATGAAAAGGAGGTAGGGGACTCTCATATTCGTAGACAAAATGTCCAATAATATTTAAGTTGTACACTGTCCTAACTATAGGACAGCTTTACATTTCCTTAGGATTAACCATTAATTTTCTCCTTGCATCCCATGTCATTTGTGGCCAATAACAACAGCAGACTTCAGTGATTTCCAAAGGTCTCATCAGAGCTTCATGACCCTGGGAATAGTCATTTGGGAAGAGCAGACTTCTCTAGAAAAACAGGAGCTATAAATTTTGTAGCTGCATGACATTAGGGAAATAAGTTATTTCTGCTCATTCTAAAGCATTCAGATCTGCTCCCTCTAGGGCTTTGCATTTTCATTAAAATTTATCTCTTTTGAGGTTTGTGTTTTTTTGTTTACCTGTTTGGGGTTGCCGCAGTGGACAACAGAATTAGACAACTGGGGATCCTATCTCCTTCCCACTCCTAATAGCTTCCCTTCCTCTCTCATATTGATCCATTTCTTTATTTTTTTTTCTCCTGAAAAAAAAAAAAACCCTGAATTTTTAAGTTTCTAAAACCTCGTAGCTTGTGGGCACATATTTTAACTTGGGATCTGAAATCTTATTTTAGCTTAACTGGAAATATTTTAGCTTAACTGAAATCTGATGGTAAAGCGAGGTCTTTATTTCATTCTGTATTTTAGGGGATTTAAAGAGATGGTGACAAATAAAGAGCCAGTCCATGCTAAACCCAGGGAAAAATAAATGCTCAAATGCAGTCACAGCTCCATGCAATCTTACAGCTAATAGAGTCCCCAAAAGATGGAGGAACAAGCAGCAAAGAACTGAGTATTCCCATGGTACTTGAAGTGTTTTGCTCCAAGTGAAAAAAATAAATCCTGCACTCACATATTGCCTGTAAAACATGTATATGTCTTAGACACACATTTACTAAGTGTCTGTATAGTACTCAAATATTTTAATCACTTAAAAAGCAAACAAAAGGGTTTTATAATTGTCATAAAGCCCTCCAGGGTGTGAATTGTGGTGTAGTAATTCATGCTTGTTGTGTAGACAGCCTAGCACCCCTAACCCCATGTCTAAAACCACACTAAGCATAAAGTGTTATGCTATGATTCATGCTCTGTCATGTTTTACTGTAGTGAAAAAGTTGTGCTAGGGTTTTCTAAACTCATAATTAAACCATGCAAACGTTGCATAATATTTCACAGCCTTTTAAAAATATGCTTTGGTAAAATGATCTTTATGATTAAAGTCCAAGTTCTATGACTTTTTTTTTTTAAACATAGGGTTATAGATTCAGTGTTATCTTACCTCACACCATAACTTAGCTTTCCAGGTGTTGGTGTGGGGACAGTGTTACAAGGCCTGAAGCCACCCTCCAGTTAGTGTTCATTCCTGTGACCACAGTGGACTTGCTTGGGTTCATTGTCAGTGGTGCCAGAAGGTGGTAGTGGTGAGCCTTTCCTCACAATTTTGGGTGTTTTCTTCTACATATATT